GCCGTAAGTATGCCACTCTCCTTCAAATCTGTCTTGCATGTTGTAAAACTGAGCGCTGCTTTTTATTGTTTTAAACTGTTTTCTGTTCAATAATATCTTTCTTAAAAGCCCTATGCACATTTAGCAAGTTACTGCAGCTGATGTCCAGCCATCATCAAACAAACAATAGCTTTCTTGAGTTACACACATAGTTCATGTTGATCAAGCTCTAAAAATTACACCTGCCTTGTATTCGCGAAGGCTTTCACGGACGGGATCTAATGGTTGTTGTGGGTTTTTCGGGCTCTTTGGCCGTGTTCTGAAGGTTGTTCTTCCTAACGTTTCACCAGTCTCTGTGGCCGGCATCTTCAGAGGACTGGAGTAGGAACTCTCTTTTTATTAGCATCCTCTTTTATTCATTTTTTCATATGCAATCCAGTGTACTCTAGATCAGCTTTTTGCTATGCTGGAATTTAGCCTGCTTTCTCCCTCACCTTCCATACTTATTTGTTACATTTATTGCTTCATGAGCTAATGGGGGTAAAGGACCTGTGCCATGAGCCTAGAACATCTCTGTCCATGTAATGAATTTGCTTAGTGGCTTAAGGCAGCTGTGCTCTTTTTTTCATTCTATCAAACTTGGAAATGTTTTGGAGGAGCCAGGTATAGCTCCAGACTGTTCTGCTCAACTTCAAGTGCACTGTGGGATATAAAATGAATCTGGGCATGCAGAGAAAGGTCTTATCCAGGGATTCAGCAGACAATTGATATAAATCAATCAGGAGTAGATCATCAAAGATTTTTTTTACTTATACTGTAGTTTCTTAACAAGAACAGCAATAAAATGACCATCTGCCCTAAATGATAATTAAGTAAATTTGGGTAACAAGGAATGGGTTTTTGTCTGAAAGGAAGTGTGAGCTCTGTTCACTTCTCATGCTCCAAATTCTTGTTAAAAATTATAATCCTATGGCTTGTTTTCTTTTTGGCAACAATCTCATGCTCCAAATTCTTGTTAAAAATTAGAATCCCATGGCTTGTTTTCTTTTTGGCAACACTATGAATGAGAGATCTCCAAAATATCTTGTCCTCAACTGCTCTGCTCAACTCTTGCAAACTCAAGGCTGGGGATTCCTTTAGGGTGTTAGTCCATCTTATATTTGATCTTCCTCTTTTCCTGCTGCCTTCTACCTTTCCTAGCATTACTCTCTTTCCCAGATTTCCCTGCCTTTTCGTGATGTACCCAAAGTAGGACAGCCTCAGTTTCAACATTTTTGCCTCCAGATATAGATCAGGCTTGATTTGATCTGGGACCCACTTGTTCATCTTTCTAGCAGTCCAGAGTATCCACAAAGCTATCCTTCAGCACCATTTTTCAAACAAATCAATTCTTTTCTTGTCAACTTTCTAAACTGTCCAACTTTTACAACCAAACACGTTGATCAGAAAGACAAGAATGTGGATGATCTTGGTCATGGTCTCCAATGACATATCCTTAAACTTGATTATATTTTCTAATTCCTTCATTGCTGCCCTTCCTAGTCTCAGTCTCCTTCTGATTTCTTGGCTATAGTCTCCATTTGGATTGATGATTGAACCAAGGTATACAAAATGTCTATTTCATTTTGTATCTATAACCCTGATTTTACAGAAATGCTTCTTATTTTTCTAGATTTAAAAACACTGAGCAAGAAGCACATGTACATTCCAAGTCTATGGCAAAGAAATTCTTTCTTTTCAAGATGGCAATTCAATATAAAAATGGGTCACTAATGGTATAATTAAAAAGTGATCCCCTTTCCTCAGAATATGTACAAATTGTAGAATATACCACAACTCTTGTGAAGATGAGGCAATCCATCTAGAGTTTTATCTCTGTAATATGATTTTGGGGTCAAAACCTGTGATCCCTAAATGGGCTGTGCCTGTTAACATATGAAATAGTGAAGAACACTGGTTGCACAAGGAGCTAAAGCTTCATTTTAAAAGGACAGAGGGAATCTGTACTTGGGAGATGTAGCACTTTAGCGTGCTTTCGACAAACATCAAATAAAGGTCTATGCAATATTTGTTTATAAAGCTCTCTCTCTCTGTGTGTGTCAACACTGGCATATGAGCAGTATGTTATTTCAGATTACTGTATATTTAAAAACACTATGTCTACAAATCTGCATCTATTCAATAGGGATGGCAAATTTAGACTACTGGGGGAATTTGCATTTGCTGTTCTGTGTGCATGGTTGTTTGTATGTGTGTAAGTCCTGCAGTCTGTTTATGTATCTGCCTTAATCTGTGATACCTAGGCCAGCCATTCTCAACAGGAGTCATTTGGCCCCCTGGGGGCCCCAGGCACATTTGAAGGGGGACACAGACTAAAAGATTTTCAACTGTATTCAGTTGTGTAGCACGGGTTGCCAGCACCTGGGGTAAGGCAAGTGTGGGCAGGGTGGGGCACAGGTAGCGGGATGGGAGAAGCCCACAGGGTACTGTGATGAATTGGCTGCAGAAGTACTCAAGGCGCACTCTCATGGGGGCAGTGGGCCTGACACACCCCTGGAAGCTTGGACTCAGGTTGCTGGGAGAGGGAAGAGGAGTGGTTGCAGCAGTGTGCCGGGCGGGGTGGTCTGCTTACCCCTAAGAATTTTGCGCTCAGAGAGACTGCCCCTTAGGGACGACCCCCCCCAATGCTATGCCACTGATTGTAGTTTTCTGTTCGCAGAGAGACTGCCCCTTAGGGACGACCCCCTCCCCCCACTGATTGTAGTTTTCTGTTTATCTGTTCATGTTGTATCCTTGTTTGATACTGGGCCATGGAACCTAAGAAGGGCTCTAAAAGGCCCATGGCCAAAAAAGGTTGAGAATGGCTAATCTAGGCCATCTTGAGAGACATCATGCTCTTCTAGATTTACCATGGCAAGTCACACTGCTGTAACAACACACTTAAACAAGCCCTTCTATGCCTTCCATCTGTCTTTCTCTTTTGATTCTTGGCACAACCTCAACCTCTCCTTCCTTCTCCATTGAGGAAGTGCTAAACCGTCTGAAGTTCCTTTCGTCCAATCTGAAATTCTGTGCCAAAAAGTCACTGAGGATTTCCCCTTTCTCATTTAACTGAACAAGACGCACATCACTCTTGTCGCCTTGTTTATAGCTGTAGAGACAAATGTCTGGCTGCTACTCTCTACAAACAGCAGCAAGATTTTTTTTAAAGAAACACCATTAGTTAAATATTAGCTAACTGGACAAATGCGGTGGACACTAGAAAGAACTCTGTATACTCAGTGCTTTTGTATGAACTATGATAGTTCCTTACACTTCAAAAAAGGAAAAAGGGAATCCATAAAACCCAGAAAATATGCAGTGTTAAGTGTTATCTCCTAAAGCCTGTGTGGCTAGAGCTGCTAAAATCAAAGCTTGGAAGGTTTCTTTTTTAAATAAAAAAACATGGTCAATGGCTGCACTAAGTGGGGAATTCTGAGAGATTGTTGTCCAATAAGTAACTCTACTAAGCACCAAGGAGGAGGACTGAATGGCATAAAACATGCCTTGCAAGTGCAAGGTCTCATGTTCCATTTCCAGTATTTCAGTCCAAAGGATCTCTGCACTGTTTCATGATGGTTTTGGGTCCAAACTAGCTGAAAGTTCTAAGAATGTGGTACTGGGAAACCACTCCTCAGTTCCTTGGCCGCTGGGTTCCTTGAGTCTCCATTCTGTTCCCTACATTTTTTAATCCTTACATAACATTACTGGGGGACGTCATCTGACGTTTGGTCACGTCACAGTGATGTGATTCTCAAGAATGCCAAGGATACAGGATCCAAACCCTGGATGCAGTGATGGATTAAAAACATAAGCTAATAAACCCTCTGTCCACATATGAAACAGCTACTGTTGGGCAAGAAAATGAGTAAACCGAGGATTGGGGTACAGTTTGCTCTCTAGACAGAGTTGCACTAACTTTGAAGGATCATGTTTGCAGCTTGTGGGAGGGATACGTGAAGACCTCACATTATTCTTGAAAGGCCAGAGGTCATCTATGGCCAGGAATGTTTCTGGTGCTACAATTGCTCCCCTTCCTGGAGGGGATAGGTTAGGATACAGTGATCCATGTCTTATAACATCCTGTTTTGATTTTTGATACAAGCCTTATGGAGTACTTAGCTTGAAGAATTGCACCAGTATAAAAGGAATAAAAGGAGGTAACTAGATTGCTTTCTGATATGTGCATTACTGACCATGCTACAATAGCCTTATTTCAGCTAAACTAGCTAGTTTTTGTTGTGGTCCCAATTCAAAACTCTGATTTCTTAGTTATAAAGCCCTGAATAATATAGGAGCAACAAATGTGAAAGATTGCCTCCTTCCTTAGGAACAATGTCTGTAGTAAATTATCTAGCTGGGAAAATCTGATTTATGTTCCACTATCAAGAATGATTACTAGGAAGATATGCTGTTTCTGTGACAGCACCTGGTCTCTAGAAATCACTCCATAAATATTTTAGACTACATATTTCATCTTCACTGTTAAAACTAGGGATGTGCACTAGCACCAACATTCAGATTTGTACTACAGAATTACAGCCTTTTACATATGGAATTTTAAAAATTCAGTTTTTCCAAATATCCAGAATTCTGTTACAATAAATATGAATACTACATAGTCATTATCTTCCCTTTAAAAAACACAAACTGGCAAAAAAAGACTTTACAAGGATTTTCCTGTGTCCTCTGACACCTTCCCAGTGATCATGCCAAACAAAAAGAGTGCACACCAACAGCCAGCACTGCCTGGGTATTAGGAAATGACTGTAATGGGCAAAGCAATTGAACCCTGAACAGTGGGAATGCCAGCAAGAAATGCCAACAAGTCAGGAGTGTTCCCTATCCAATGGGAATCAGAAACATTGTGCTACAACCTGGAGCAGAAAGAGGACAGAGTTGTATGAGGAAAGTAGGATAAAAAGTCAGGAAGGAAGAAATACCAAATAGACAAACTTCACATTCCCAGGAATTACTGATACCTCCACAGTGGGTGAGTCCATACAGCGTATAGCCTTTGTGACACAGACACTGGAAACTCCCTGGTGTGTTCACACAAATGTGGTCACAGGTTCTGTCAAAGGAGCATTCATCGATATCTGGGGACAGGAAAAGAGAATGTAAGATACAATCCAACAAATAAGGCAGTAACTTCCTAACACCTGGACTATCTTATCCTTTACTTAGCAAAAATTCAGAAATTAAGAAACTGTACTCATTGTCTGGGCACAGAAGAATATTGTCGATGTCATTTTAACAGACTGACTGACCATCAGTTACCTCTTCACAATCCTTATTATATCACAATCAAAACCAGGGAGGCTGATAAAGAGTGAAAGTCCAGTCCAAGTCCAAATCTCCATGTAGATGTGACTCAGTCACTGGGTGACTTTGGATTACTCATGCACGCATATATACTTTCAGCCTAACTTAACCAACATCACAGGACTGGTGTGATGATAAAAAGAAAGAAATGCATCTGTTTCTATAAGTTTCTTGGATGAAGAGTGGGACAAAAAAATGGAATGAATGCATTAATGAGTAAAGGCTTCTATTTCCTCCCTCCATTCAAGGCACAATGAGTGAAATAAATACTGTACTCCAAACTGTGTTGGTGACTGCACCACAGGCCTGATGAGATGCTCAGATGTAGCCTCACTAACACCACCAGTAGAATGCACACATTTTCAGTAGATTTTTTGTCAAGGGAGATCACTCCAGTCATCTTACACGTCTTTACTGGGAATTTCATTAGGATTAGAAGCCACATTCTGTTGGCCATAGCCAGACAAATGGCTATTTGTTTTTCTCATTAGGTTTGTTAAATTAATTGCTACACTCTAAAAGAACAGTTATGAAGCTGGATAAAGATGAAAGAGGTTATCATCTACGTTTTCTGCAACTCTCCCTGTCTCCACCCACATTATGAAGGTGCACCAGCTTCCCTAGGGCTGGGCCTTATGAAGTCAGAAGAAAACATTTACAGTAGATCACGTGTTATCTGCCTCAGCCAACAGGGAGGAGAGAAAATGCAGCTGCTGGTTTAGAGAGGGAAGAAGAACCTATGGCTGAGCACAGCTTCATACCCAAGCTACTTATCTTTAAATAAAAACAAACTAACTAACTAACAAGCTAACAAGCTAACAAACAAACAAACAAATAAATAAATAAATAAATAAAAGGTTTGGTTTGTGACCCTGTATCATGGCAGTGAAATTTATGTGGATAAGCTAGCAGTATACCCAAAGTACTAAGAAAAATGAGGAAAAGACAACATGGTCATCAAAACAATACAAATGCAGGAATAGGTGATATCTTTATTTGACCATTAAGAATATAAATCAAACAAGAAACTGTTCAGATTTTGATATGAAAATGTATTTAAAAAGTAACGTATAGTTAAATGTAAAATGGATGATTTTACCTGAGTCACTGTACTGATTGTATTCAGGTATGGTATCAAGGATTAAGACTTAATGTTGTACATCTGTCTACATGATGAAACTTTGTGTAACAGATAATTAAGTACAGTGGTACCTCGCTTAACGATTGTTTCGTTAAACGACGAAACCGCTATACGATGACTGTTTTGTGATCGCTTTTGCGATCACAAAATGATGTTTTAATAGGCAAAATCCATTTTGCGACTATCAGTTCCCTGCTTTGGGAACCGATTCTTTGCATTATGATGATTTTAAAACAGCTGATCGGCGGCTTCAAAATGGCCACCGCTGTGTAAAATGGCTCCCCGCTGTGTTTTTGGACGGATTCCTTGCTATACAGGCACCGAAAATGGCCGCCCCTATGGAGGATCTTCGCTGGACTGTGAGTTTTCAGCCCATTGGAACACATTGAACGGGTTTTGAATACATTTCAATGTTTTTTTTATTTTCGCTTAACAAGGATTTCGCTCTACAGCAATTTCGCTGGAATGGATTATCCTCGTTAAGCGAGGCATCACTGTAATGTATTTTCTGATTGGTTACAGAACTGTACATAAGTCACATGTAAAATGAATGTCTTTATCTGCTGTAAGTTAGATCACTTTTTCCTATGCTGTGTGTTGCTTCATGTCATGTTATGCTGCCAGAGGAATGTCTATTCTCTATGTATATGTGTAAATAGACTAAGTTGTTTATTTTACTCTCTCGGTGTCATAATGTCATAAGTATCTCTGCTAACCAATATCTCCTTACTCTGCTGATGCTATGAGAATACACATTATAATCAAAATTCTCAACAGAAACAAACAATGATAATTTTCAAGGCAGTGCACCAAGGGCAAAGTACTAAGGGATTTGCAGAGGAAGAGAAATGTTAATGCTTTGTTTCTACTGGACAGGTGAAGACAAATTATAGGAAGATGCAATTGGATTCTTGGTGGTAGTATTAGATGGTAATTGGGATTTGCAGGAAAACCCTCCCTTTTCCCACCAGGCCTTAGGTGGTCTTTGAATTTATTGGATTCTGTGCTACAGTTAATTAATTTTATACTTTTTATGAGGTTGTCTTTAATTGTTTTTCTGTGAGATACCTTGAGGGCCTTTGCAGTGAAAAGCAAGCATCTAAATTTAAATCAATCAAATAGACTGGCTATGTTACAGCCTGGAAGAACTGGTTTATCACACCTTCCCTATTAAAATTAAAATATAATTTTGATATATAAGGCCCCTTCATGAATTGCTGCCTTGTCATGGTGAAGGGGCTTGAGTAATTCAGAGAAGCTATGGGCTATGCTGTGCAGGGCCCTCAAAGATGGACAGGTCATAATGGAGAGTTCTGACTGAACATGATCCACCTGGAGCAGGAAATGGCAAGCCACTCCAGCATCTTTGCCAAGAATACCCCATGAACAGAAACAAAAGGCTAAAAGATATGACGCTGGAAGATGAGCCCTTCAGGGTGGAAGGTGTCCAACATGCTACTGAGGAAGAGCGGAGGACAGGTACAAGAAGCTCCAGAGCTAATGAAGTGGATGGGCCAAAGCCGAAAGGACGCTCAGCTGCGGACACGCCTGGAAGTGAAAGGATGCAAAGAAAATACTACATAGGAACCTGGATTGTAAGATCTATGAACCTTGGGAAGCTGGATGTGGTCAAACAGGAGATGGCAAGAATAAACATTGACATCCTGGGCGTCAGTGAACTAAAATGGACAGGAATGGGTGAATTCAAATCAGATGATTATCATATCTACTACTGTGGGCAAGAATTCCATAGAAGAAATGGAGTAGCCCTCATAGTCAACAAAAGAGTGAGAAAAGCTGCAATGGGATATAATCTCAAAAATGATAGAATGATGTCAATACGAATCCAAGGCAGGCCTTTCAACATCACAATAATCCAAGTTTATGCACCAACCACCATTGCTGAGGAG